GATGTCTGCAACTCTCAAATGGTTCAGAAAGGAAAAATGTGTGTGGGGTGTGTGTTTTGAGTAGGGAGAAAGAGAAAGCAAAATGTGTAAAATATTAATGAATGATGAATCTAGGTAAAAAGTATTTGGATGTTCCATACACTATTCTTTCAATTTGAGAGGTTTGAAACATTTCAAAGTAATAAACTGAGGGGTAAAATTAAGTTATCTAGGAGAAAGGTAGTGTTGGGAGAGAGCTTTCCAAGCAGAGGGAGTAAATACTGAGGCTGAGTGGAGCGTGTACGTTCAAAGACTAAGAGAAACACAGAGGGAGGGCGGGTCAGGGCGAGGGCTGCAGAGTGGACACCAAAGATTTTGGTCTCATCCTAAGATGAGAAGCCACTGAGGCCATTGGATTTAAGTATTTAAAGATCATTTTTGCTCCTATGAGAAGACCAAGGGTTGAGGGGACACCTCTGGGAGGACAGGAACCCAGGGATGCGGCCCCAGCCACCTCTGTCTCCATGAAAATCCAGGAGTCTTGACTTGCAGCCAGGCTCCGCTGTCCCTGGGGCTGAGGCAAGGGGGCTCAGGTGGAGGCGAAGGGCCGCATGGGGACAGAGTGGGGAGAGCAGCGCAGTTGAGAGCAGGGAGGGGAGCTCTGGGGCTGTGGGGAAGACAACAGGGTCAGACACCTGGTTAGGAGGACACCATCGCGGGGCAGAAGGGGGATCACATGGCCTGGGGAATAAAACTCAGTGGAAGGATGGGCCTGGAACCATGACGGCCTGGGCTGAAAGAAGGATTCTAGGGAAATGGCTCAAGGCTGGAGGCCAACTACCCGGGCAGGCTGCCAGCTCTTTGAAGCTGGGCAGGAGATGAACGGAGAGAGACTTTTTTTTGAACCATTTACTGAGAGCTTCCTATTCCCTGGGTCCTGGGCTGGCTAAATTATATACATGTTGTCTATTCCAGCCTCAGAACCACCTGCAGCTAAGTGTTAGAAGTGTCCCTATTTCCCAGCAGATGAAACTGGGGCTCAGAGAGATTGAGAGACTTTCCCCAAACCACACAGCTGGCAACAGGCAGAGCTGCAACCTGAAATAGGGCTAATGTTACTCCCGAGCCTGTGCTCTTACACATGACAACATGCTGGGCTTCAGCCTGGAGGCCCGGGAACCCTGGCAGCAGTGACAGGAGACTCTTCTAGGATTTGGGGAACAGTGAAAAAATAAAAGTGAAAGAGATGGACTACATCTAAGTGACCATTTTCCAAGCACCATGTGCCAGTGCCTGTGACAGGCCCTAGGATTTAAGAGATGACAGATACAGTTCTCACCCTAAGGAGTTTGTATTCTTGTACACTGGGTATGTGTGTGAGGGACTAGCCCAGAGGCTGGGCTGTGGTAAAATGCTCCCTGATCATGCTCAGAAAAAGGGAAAAATCTGGGAAAGTCATCCCTGACAGGAGCCTGGATTTCATTGTATTAAATCTAAAAGCATGTGAAGTGTTTATGTAGTAAAAGTCTATCAGCATTTTAAAATATACATTTTGGTCCATATAAGGGGCTATTATGCAACAATTAAGTGTCAATTTAATAAATAATCTTGCTTCAAAATAAGAACAATTTTCAAGAATTGTTTACTGACACGAGGAAATTCCCATGATGTCATACAAAGAGGGAAAAAAAAAACAGGCTAAAATACTGATACACACGGTATGACCTCAATGACTCCAAAAAAAAAAAAAGAAACCACTGAGAAATATCACTTGACTGGGAATGAGAGTTCTTGATATTCTGTGAACAATTTACATAGGTGAATCAGATTTTTAAAAGAAGAATAAAAAGAGGCAGCAGCAGAAGCAACCGAAGAAGAGAAGGGGAAGCAGGAGCAGCCACAGCCCATCTGTGTTGTTTAACTGCACAAAGGAACAGATTTGAAATATACACATAAAAATTTTAAGAGAGCCTAAGACATGTGAGACACTCAGCCAAATATAAAATATGGCTCTTAATTTGAGTAAGCGTGCAAACCAGGTAACAGAGGGAGATACATAATTGGGGAAGTGTGGATATATACTAAATATCTGATGATGTTTGTAATAATATATTAATAAACTAACAGATTGTTAGTTTCTTCAGATTATTTCTGGGACTTATGTGTTTTAAAAAATGAATCATCTGTTAAAGATAGTGAAGACTCAGATGATATCATACGATGGCTGAGATTTGTTTTAAAATAAATCAATGAGAGGAGATGGAAGTGAAACATGTCAGTCGAAGCTGGATAGTGGGGCCAGAGAGGCTCATGACACGGATCTTTCTATCTTTGTATAGATTTGAAATTTTCCGTATTAAAAAAAAGTGAGTGGTGGTTTCCCTGGGTTGTAAAATTAAGGGGGCTTCTTCTTTTAAATGGTTTTAACTATTTCTTATGTTTCTATAATGAGCATAGGTTATTTTATAAGCAGAAAGAAGTAAGTTACTATTTGTTTGTTGAATGACTGCCCAAACTGAGGGGGGGCAGGGATAGTCTCTCTGGAGGAGGGTGGGTTGCAGAATAGAAGGGGAAGGACAGTATGAAGCCACCAAAATAGAACAGTGTGGAGACCAGGGGAAATCAAATGGAGACACTTCTCAAGGCAGAGATTGGGAACAGCTGCAGGGCGGGGCCTATGGGGTACAGCCGAGAAAGGAGAGCTTGAGCAGCAGCTGTTGGGATCAGAAACCAAAAGGAAGACCTGAGAAGGGGTAGTGGTGGGGAGGAGGTACACCTGGGGGGCGGGGATTTCAGAAGACTTCCTTTTGTGTAAGTAAGGTGACAGGGCTGGCTTGAACTTGAACCTGGTTTACTGAAGAACTCAACACTAAGCCTGCTCTGAACCTGGTGTGCCAGTAGCCAAGATGGGCCAGAAAAGCACTTGAGGGCCAGGGTTTGATTGAGTAAGAGGAATTTTCCCTCTCCATCTTCTCCCTCCCACTGACTCATCAGAACAGCAGCAAAGGAAATCTCCCTGTCATCCTGCGAGGCCTCACCACAGGGCCTTTGCAAGTGCTCTTCCTCCACCTGGAATGCTCTTCCCTCTTTTATCTTCAGCTGGTTAATTCACAGCCTCATTTCTTCCTGGATGTCCTCCTGCTCCCTGACCAGGGCAAATCCCTATTCTATGCTCTCACCACCAGGCGCTGCTCTTCCAAGCATTTACAGTAGCTGTAATTGGACATTTTTCAGTGATTATTTGGTTACCATTTGTCTCCCTTAATACACTGTCAACTCCCTGAGGGCAGGGATTACATTTATTTTATATCTCCTACACCTATAGTAGGTGCTTCCTAATTATTTACTGAATGAATCAAAGAGGGAAGTGGTAGTTGCTGGACTGGGCCGCTAACACTGATTTCATCTGGGCCACTTTGGAGCTGAACCAGAAATGTCTGTTCCATCCCCCTCAGGGTGACTAAGGAAGGGAGAGTTCCTGAGCTTGCTCTCCCATCTCCCCAAGAGCTCCCCCATGTTTTTCAGGCCAAGTCTCTCCACTGATGAAAGGGACTTAAGGCAGAGGTAAGGCACCCAATCCAGAGGGCACATCAGAGGAAACTGGGGGGGCTCCTGCAAGTTCAGCAGGGCGCTCTGCCTCAGGGCCTGGGGAGGAGGTGGGTAAAGGGGACACAAGTTGCCCTGTGCTTCTCATCACCTCAGCTCACATGTCACCTCCCCCTGGAAGCCTTCACCATCCTCCTCCCCCTTTACACTCATGTGACCCTCTTCTCAGAACTTGCTATGATTTGTAACTATATATATATATATTTTTTTTTTAAGTGTGATTTGCTGTCAATTTTCTGTCTTCCCTGCTGGCGTGGAAGCCCATGAGTTCAACACTCATGTCTGCTGGTTCACCCTACAGGCCAGGGTTTAGCCCAGGGCCTGGCACATAGTAGATGCTGAATAAATATTTGTTGAATGAATAAATACATGAACAAATACATGAATGACCTAATGTATGGGAAGTGGGGAGAAAGGAGACACCTGGAGTCAAAGGAGGGGCCAGGGCAGTCCATGCCATCTGGCTTGCTACCTTCTGGGAACTGCCTGGAGATCTCAACACCAGAGGCAGGACCGCACATGCCTGGGGGCTGGAGTCTCCATCCGACACCCAGGTGTCCCAGGTTTTTGGGGCAGTGAGGGCATCTCTAGCATCTGGGGAAATGGTAGCAGCAAGGGTCTAAGGAGTGAGGAGGAGGGAAGACAGCCCGGGCTCTGCTCTCCCTCCCTCTCCTGGGCTCCCTGCACTCCCCCAGGCTCCTGACTTCTCACAGGGAGGCCTGGCCCAGAGCCCAGCCCGCTCTCCCCAGACCCACCACAGGCCCTTCTGCTGAAGTCCTTCCCCCACCCTCCACCCCTCAGGGGGTTCCTGTCTTAGCAGGAATTCATACCAGATTGAAGCATGCAGCTGGGGCAGCCTGGATAGGAGGGTGTATGGTAGAGAGCAGAGATCAAAGGCTGTGTGTGTTTGCATGTGGTGGGGGGCGGAGGGGGGCAGGCATGTGTGTGCTGGCTTGCCCACAAGTGTAAAGAAATGAGAGACAAGAGACAGGAGGAACACAGAGTAAAAGCAGGATAAAAGAGAGACAGAAGAGAAAGAGAGGGCAACAGAGAAAGAAACCCAGCGAGGCAGAAAGGGACAAACAAGAGACAGAGAGAGAGAGACAAGGAGACACAGAGAGGCTGAGAACAGAGGAGAAAGACATAGTGAGAGACAGAAACAAAGAGACTGCAGACAGCAGAACACAAGGACAGTAGGGAATGATGAAAGAAGGAGAGAGATCAAGGACAGAGACAGGGAGACAGAGAGGAAAGTAGAAATAGACTGAGACTGAGGAGGAGCCACATTTATTCATTGATTCCACATTGATTGAGCGCCTAGCCACAGCAGGCGTGGTGTGAGGCACAGATCAGTGTGACAAGACACAGAGGGTAGAGATACAGCAATAAAGACAGAAACTGAGATAGAGACGGAGCAAGAGGGGGTGAGGCAGAGATTGCAAACTGAGATGAGACTGAGGCAAGGATGCAGACATTAGAGTGTCAGAGACTAAAGGCCAGCAGGCTGAGAAGGCAGGACCAAGGGGGCCCAGCGGGCATCCTGGAGGAGGCGCAGGCCGGGGAGAACGTGCCCCCCCTCCAGCTGTGCCATCTCCACTTCCCCACAGCTGCCTGACCTCCCTCCCCTCAGCCTGGGCTCTTTCCTGACGGCTCTGGTGGAGGCTCTGACTGCTGACAGCACCTCCTCTCGGTCTCCTGTCCCAGATTTCTCTGCCCGAACCCCAGTCAGGATGGGGCCCGGCCAAACCCGGAGCAGGGGGCCATAGCCAGTAGACAGACACAAGAAGCCTCCTCTTCACCCAGAGACCACCTTAAGACCATTTTTTCCCCACAGAGCTTCCTTACCCCCGGGAGACAGGAAAATGTTTGAATGGTAGAGAGAAGGAAGGGGAAGATGTGTGAATTGAGTTTCCAAAATAGCCAGAGTAGGAGCCTCTTCCCTCTGGGGTTTGTGTACCAGCCCATGATACACCAAAACCTCCCTGAAATCTGGAACAGAGTGAGGAAGCCATTCGTAGCGAATGCTGAGCCCTCCCCCATCTCCTCCCACACCCATCACTGAGAAAAATGCCGCAGAGAAGAGGGTGGGCTGGAGAGACAGTCACCTACCCGCTGGTGCCGGGTCTCTGGGCCTGAGAGAAACGCCAGTCCGTGTTGGGTGGGGCTTGCTGTGGAGAAAACAGAGGGAAAGGGGCTGAGTACCCAAGTCGGCTAAGGTAAGGGGAGGGTAGGCTCTTCTTCAAATACGAAGTATACCTCAGATCTCAGAGGTCTGAGGCACCAGAGACAGAGACAAAATCACATTTATCAGACCATAGTGAGCAAACCAGATTCCTTTGCTAAAGCAACGGTCCCTTCAACCCTGCCCTCAGTCTCAGAACTCTGGAGCCAAGATTCAAGGGCTGGAAGTGTCTTCTGTGGAACTGGGAGGGGGTTACAGAGGACCCTAAAAGTGGCAGAGGAGGCTTTTAGATGAGGATTCCAGCAGCCCTGGAAAGAATTTCATTCAGCTCCTCAGCTGTGAACAAAGCATCTTCTGCAGCAAGATGGCTGCTGCTCGGGGTAACCCTTTTCATGCCAGGTTGTGCCTAACACATTCAGAGGGACAGCTCCTTCAGATCCTTGGCTCTCAAGGATCCCTTCCCACAGCTAAATACACTATTAATTTAGGAATTATGCCAGACTGAGCCTTTGCAGGGCATCCAAACCCCACGTCACCTCTCACCCCCAGAACTCTGTGCCAGACAATGGCTGTGACCCAGGAGGAGAGAACAAGGCTGCTCTGTCTGGGACAGAGAGAACTGCTGGGATGGAGCCCAGCAAAGCTCAAGCTCCCACAGCCTTCATGCAGAGCCAACTCAATCTGCAGGGCTCCCAAGAGGCAGATCTCTGGCCACCTCCCACCTGGATGAAGGTGTGGGGCTCTAAATCGGTCACTTCACTCCCAAGCCCCTCCCAGCTTTCCCAGAGGGTGTGTTATCCCATCACACACTCTCATGGAGCATTCCTAGAGCCATCTCCTCTCCGTTCTAGGGTGTGCTGGTAATTGATTCTCACACTCAACTCCCAGGAGCAGAGCGGGAGGTGTGAGCATCTCCGATTACACTGGGGAGAAGGAAGACTCAGGGCTGCCAAGTGACTCACTCTAAGGTTCACAGGTGGCAGTGATGTGAGCAGAACCCAGAAACTTAGCATCCCAGGTGCAACAGGAGTCACTAGCACCATTCCTGGGCCGAGGTGGGAAAGGGCACAGGGATGTCTGGTCACTGTATTCTTAGACACAGTAGAATCTACACTGAGCTGCAGTCACTCTGACAGATTGGAGGAGAAAAGCTGGGCAAACTCACAACCTACCTAAGGACGGCCGGTCTAAGTTTGTTCAGTTAAGTCTGCTCAGGGATAAAGAACCCCAAAGGACTTTCCTCCACATGTAAGGTCGTAAAAGGGAAAGAATCACACCTCTGCTCCAACCCAGCAGATGCAAACTATCCCTCCTACCCTCCAGCTTTACAAGTACCCAGTGACTGAAAGCACGAATTCAGGAGTTGGTCTTGGGTTAGATCTTTCTCTGTCACTCACCCTGTGAACTTGAGCAAGTCACTTGATCTCTGTGAAACTCAGTTACAAGGGAGGGATGCTACTAGCTAAACAACAAAAGCATTGCGAAGAACAAATGAGATGTTGTGGTAAGTGTGTAGTAAGGGTCAATCAGCTATCAGAATCACATGGGGGGCGTTGTTTCAAAATATAATTCTGACTCAGTAGCAACAGAGTGGGGTATAGATATTTTTTGTATAAAGCTCCCCAGTTGTGGAAACGTGTGCTTTTTACTATTATAGTTTCCCCACTTATCAGGGCACCTTGGCATCTGACAGAGGCTGTGGCTTTCCATCAGCCAGGGAAAAAAGGACTTGCCAGAGTCTCAGATGCTTTGGGCACCCCTAAAGCCCTGATCCTAGATCGCTGGGAACATTGTGGTTACGACGGAGCCAAAAGCCTATCTCTGAGCGCCCAGAGCCCTTGCACTCCAGGCTCCCACTTTCTGAGAGAGGACAGGTTAGTGGTACTGCTCAGGTCCCAGGCTGGGCCCCGCCGCGCCGCGGGTCACAACGGGGTTCGGCCAGCTCCAGCGAGGCTTCTGGGCTGGAGGTGCCGACGCCGTCTGCGCGGAGTCCTTAGCCTAATGGACCGGCCAGCCCGCGGGTCACAGAGTCCCGCCCGTCCCTAGAGCAGCCCCCATGCTCCCCGCAGTGGGCTCAGGCCAGCCCTGAGGCATTTCGGGGCGGGGATGGGAGGAGCTCCTTTTGGGACCCTGAGGCGGAGACCACCTGGGATGTCGCCTCCCCGGAGTCAGCAGTGAGGGCCTCCGGGGCCGGCAGCGGCGTGGGAGGGAAGCGGTAAGGGGACTGGGACAGCCCGTGCGTGTGCACCTGGCAGTAAATGCGGCGTGCGTGGAAGGCCAAGTGCGACGAGCGTGCGCGCGCGCAGGTGAGGCGTGGGGAGCCCGTGCGCTGTGCGCGGCTCGTGAGTGTGTTCTGCGCCGAGGGCCCCGCGGGTGCACCTCTGTCCTGCCAACGAATGCGTTGGTTTCCTGTAGGAATAAGGAGGGTTGAGAATAAGAGCGCAGTCACACGTCGAGAGAGTGGGAAGAAACCTAAAAAGAAACCTGAAGACCCACGGAATGGGCCGGCTGCAGGTGTGCACCTCTACCGGGACCCGGACTCCCACCTCAGCGGAAATCGCCGAAATGATCGCCCGACCCCAGCCTTTTCTGGCGTGTGGCGACGGGGTCGGTCTTACCCTCACCCCCTGGCCCACAATCACCGTCACCTCCCGGGGCTCAGAGCTCCATCCCTGCCTCGCCCACACCTCTGGTATTGCGCAATCAGTCCAAACAGTCCCGACATTCGGGTAGAGCCAGCAGCAGAGCGGTGGCTGCAAGTTCAAAGTCCCTGATGTGGATGGGCGGCTTCTCCGTTGCCGCCCCCAGGGGTCATGCCGAGCCCCTCACCTGGCTCCGCTCGAGCAACGTGTTAGAGCGGGACCGGAAGGCGTCAGGCTCCGGCGCCAGAGCTGAGGGCTGCTGGATGCTGAGGGGCCTTAGAAAAGTGAAGTCACTGCCATCCGAGGCTGGTGAAAAGCACGTCCGGTAGCAATGGCTGTGGGAGTCTGTGGGCCGCAGCGTCACCTCCATGTACTTGAGCGTGCCGTCTGAGCTCACTTGTAGATTGGGGCTGGACTGCGTGTAGAACTCCCGAGAGGGCGAGTCCTGGCGCCTGCAGCACTGGCCCCCACCCCCATCCCCATCTGCATGCCCCCGAAGGCACTTAGCTGACAGAAAGGTGAAAGTGACTAAGGATAAGAGGCTGATGGCTGCAAGAGCCACAATGAGGTAAAGTGTAAGGTCTGAACGCTCAGGAGGGTGAATGAGGAAGTCCCTGGATTTGGGCATTTCCTCAGGGTCCTCATCCTCCAGAATCAGCAGCACTGTGGCTGTAGAGGAGAGTGAAGGGTCACCATTGTCCCTCACTAGGACCACCACCTGCTGTGTGTCAGAGTCATCCTCCAGTAAAGCCCGGGCTGTTCGAACCTCACCAGTGTGTGCAGACACCAGGAACAGTCCCGGGGCTGTGGACTGTGGCAACAGTGAATAGGAGAGCCATGCATTGTGGCCTGCATCAGCATCTACGGCTGTCACCTTGGTGACCAAGGAGCCAGGAGGGGCTGAGCGAGGAAGACGCTGGGGGATTGAGAGTTCCCGGCCGGGTATCGGGTGCAGCACGGCTGGGGCATTATCATTCTGGTCCAGGACAAACACATGGAGAGATGTGTTAGCGTGCAGTGGGGGAGAACCAGAGTCTCGAACGCCCACCACGATCTGCAGCATCTGCAGTAACTCATAGTCAAAGGTACGCTGGGCAAAGACCCGCCCGTCCTCAGGGTTGACATATACGAAGGAGGAGGCTGGGGCTCCCCGAATCTGGTTCCCTACAATGGAGTAGGTGAGGCGGGCATTATCCCCAGTGTCTGGATCAGAGGCAGCCACGGTGCAGAGAAGGGAGCCTGGAGGTCGGTTTTCTGGGATGTAAGCAGTATAGAGCTGCTGGGTGAAGTAGGGTGCATTGTCGTTAACATCTGAAATGTTGAGTCTGATGGTGAGATGTGCGTGCAAGGGAGGTAAGCCCGCATCGTGGGCCTGCAGCTCAATGATATAGTGGGATGTGGCCTCACGGTCCAAAGGCTGGCTGGTTAGCAGTGAGTAGTGGTTCTCAGAAGGCTTAATCTGAAATGGGAGGTCCGGAGAGATATCCAGGCTCACTTCACCATTTCTCCCTGAGTCTCGGTCCCGCACGTTAAACAATCCCACCACTGTGCCCACTGGTGTGCTCTCCAGGACAGGGTTGACCAAAGAGGCCAGCAGTACCTCAGGGGCATTGTCATTGGCATCCCCCACATCCACTTGAATCACACAGTGGCCTTCCATGGCTGGCTGTCCCTGGTCACGGGCTCTTGCATGAATTTCATAGAAACTTGACTCCTCAAAGTCTATGGGACCAAACACATGGATTGCTCCACTGCTAGGGTCTAGGCCAAAGAGATTCCGCACTGCCTCAGATGTATGGTCTCCAAAAGAATAGTCTAGTTGGCCATTGGTGCCCTCATCCGGGTCAGTGGCATTGAGGCGGAGCAGCAGTGTACCCATGGGTGTATTCTCTGGGAGTGCTACACGGAGAACTGAGGACTGGAAGGCTGGAGCATTATCATTGATGTCCAGCACAGTGATAGAGATAAGGGTGGTCCCTGAGCGGGCTGGGACACCCCCGTCCACAGCAGTGAGCACCAGCTGATGTCTTGCCTGGGCTTCACGGTCCAGCTGCTGCTCGAGCACCAGCTCTGGGAACAGCTTCCCATCTTTTAGGGTCTTCACATTCAGAGAGAAGTGGCTGCTGGGGCTTAGAGTATAGAAGCTCACAGTATTGGTGCCCACGTCTGGATCCTGGGCACTATCCAGTGGGAATCGTGCCCCAAGTGCAGCTGATTCTGAGATGCGTATCTCTCGCTCAGGAGTGGCAAAGCTAGGAGAGTTGTCATTGAGATCCAGGATCTCTACCTCTACACGGATTAATTCCAGGGGGTGTTCAGTCACCACCTGTACTGGCAGCAGGCA